TGAAAACAAGGTGCAAATTTATACTGGTGAGAATAATTAACCCTTGGGAAAATTTACCCAGGGTGTTGGTGGATTCTCTATCACTGCCAGTGTTTAAATGAAGATGGGATGCTTGTCTAAAAGCGCTGCTCTAGGAATTATTTGGGGTACGTTCTGGGCCTGTGCTGTACCAGAAGTGGCTTACAGGTTTGTGAGGCCCTGGGCCAATGCAAGTGGGGGCCCCTCCCCACCCCTTCTGCCTGCAGTCCACCCTGCAGCAATCCTGCTGGGGAAATGGGGTTGGGACATCGGGGCTTGCCCCACCTGCCCAGCACTCCTGCCAGGGAGCTGGGTCAGGGCACAAGGGCTTCCCCCCCCCCTCCCCAGCATGAGCACTGGGTGGGCAAAGAGGGTCAGGACATGGGGGCACGTTTTTCTAGGGGCCCCCCAATTGGCCCCTGGGCATGGGCCCCATTGGCCCATCTGACACCGTGCTATACAGAAGGTCAGACTGGATGATCACAATGGGCCCATCTGACCTTGGAATCTATGAAAACCAGGCAGTACAAAGTTAAGGTACACACCACCCCCGCAATACAACTCTTGTACCCTCCCTTGTACTGCTCTAGAACCCGCTGTATGCCCCCTCAATGCGCCAATCCCCTCCAACCACACCCAAGTGTTCCGAGTCCCCGCACCACTTCCCCAACATTCCCTGCATTGTGCCGTTGCTTAAGGCACAGCATACAGCCCCTCTGCTAACCCCTCCCAAGCAGTCACTGACCAGTCAGCCTACCAGCTAGAGCCAGCGCCAGGAGTCAGAGCACAGGGTGAAAAGCAGAGATGGAGGCCAAAGTCAGGGGTCAGAACTGGGTTCTCTGCAGCCAGCCAAGCCAGGGCTGGATCAAGCAAGCACTGGTGCCATCCAGGGCTGGCTCTAGCTTTTTTGCTGCCGCAAGCGGCGAAGAGGGAAAAAAAAAAAGCCCGCGATCGGCGGCACTTCGGCGGCTGCTCTCCCGCGCTGCTTCATTCTTCGGCGGCAATTCGGTGGCCGGTCCTTCCCTCCGAGAGGGACTGAGGGACCCGCCGCCGAATTGCCGAAAACCCGGACGTGCCTCCCCCTTCCATAGGCCGCCCCAAGCACCAGCCTGCTGCGCTGGTGCCTGGAGCCGGCCCTGGTGCTGTCCCAGCTGTAGGTAAATGTTTTAAGTGGCCACTGAACTAGTGCCGACTGAGGTTGTGCTTAAGTCTGCTGAGTCTTCAGACCAATCAGGCGGTATAGCCAATTAGGTCACCTACTCAGATGAGCTGCATGCATTAGGTTGCCTGGCGACTGGCTCTGCTGCAGGCCTTGATTTCTGACACCAACTCCATCCTCCACCTTGCCACGCCGTGCCCCACTGCTAGGCCATGAGACAGTGGTGGGCTGGGAGGGGTTAATGTGCTAGCAGTCCTTACCCCAAATCCAGACCTAGTGTATGGGGAAGGGGTTCTCACAGCCATCTGCAGCACAGCAGACTCAGTGAGGTGTGAAGTGGCCCATTCATCTCAATGAGATGTTCTCAGATGAATGAGAACACCCCATGAAGATGGGCACTGCCTGAAAGAATCGCTCTAAGAGGTGCAAACTGCTCCAATTTGCTCCATGTGCGTTCTCACCCTTCCTGCAGTGTCCCAGCTCCAGGGGCTGTGTCAAGCCCTGAGCATGCCTGTCTTCAGCTCCCAACCCCATGTGCGCCTGTGCCATGCACTGACTGTGCTCATTCTTGGTTCCCCATCCCAGACTCAACACTGTAGGGCTATGTTTTGAAGGGGGACAGAAATGGGGGGTATGAATGTGAGGCAGTTTGGGAGCAGAGCTGAAGCCTCCCCCACATTCCCCACTGCAAAGCTCTGACACCCCTCCCTTACTCCCCCCCGTCCTCCACACCCACTGCACTGATCTCTCCTTTCCCCCTAGAAGCAGCAGCCAGGGGTAGGGCGAGCTTGGAGCCCTTGCTCCACTGCTGGGGGAGTACAGGGCAGGTGGGGAGTTCTGGGTTCCTTCCCCGAGCAATGAAAGGAAGTTGAGTCCCTTAGCACCCTCCCTTGGCCTGGTGGAGCCAGGGCCGGCTCCAGGGTTTTGGCTGCCCCAAGCAGCCAAACAAAAACAACAAACAAAAAACAAAAAAAAACAAAACAAAAACAAAAAAACTGCAATCACGATCTGCGGCGGCAATTCAGCGGAAGGGCCCTCGCCCGGAGCAAGAGGGGGGGGACAATCGCCCAATTTCCGCCGGGCAGCCGGGCGGGGTGGCCCCCTT